CTAATAGCTTCTTGTTACTAGTAGTAAGGCACTTGTTACTAGTAGCGATGCACTTGTTCCTAGTAGCTTTTTTTGGTGCGTTGAAGTCCAAGGTACAATGTATTCGACGATGTCCGCGTCGTGGAGAGATCCTTGGGCAACAGGGTTTTTGGGCGGGGCTGTGCCCTTCGCACGGTCCGTTTGTGTCGCAGAACTGCTAACGAGAAGCTGTTTTTTTAGATAACTTATTGAAAGCTCCGTCGTGGAATTACTAAAAGCTATAATAAACCTCAACCTCTTAACAGGGAAACTCGGCATTTGCACTTGTGGATTGGATCTGAGGATCGGGCTTTGGGCGGAAGAAGCCAGAGAGGAGGCATTTGCACATGCAGGAGCAGAGCAGCACAGCGGCGGAAGAGTGCAGTTTAGTTTGTGGCCGATTCATGGTCAACAAAGATTCCAAAGATTGGCAGTTGGGTTTGACCAGCAGGTGTTCTTGATCAGTCAAAATATGTGAACATCAGGATCCCTTGGCCCTTGGCATTGTTTGGGGCCAGTGTGCGAAGTTCATGGAAGCTGCAATGATGTGAGCATGCAAGTTGGGCTGTTTGCTGGGTTTTTCTGTGCAAGAGTGGACCCTTCATGACCGATAACCGTGGAGTTACCCCACGGCGCCACGGTGACCCGCCCGAGCAAGACGTCCAACACTGCCCAGCCAGTAGACCCTTTGATTTTTGAACTTGTTGTGTTCGATTGTTTTCCGTTTTTCTTTTCAATCATAAAAGAACCATCCGACTTGGTGACGGAAGCAGGCGTTTCTTACTTCGGCTGAAGTCGCCCCAGGACATCCACATCATGGTCACCCAGACGATGGCGAATCACTCAGAGGAAGCAAACGCAGCAGTCAGGCGCTCAGCCACCTTTTCAGGCTTTCGGTGCAAAGGAAAGCAAAACAACAGGTCTAACGGTCTAAACATGGAACAAAGGTCAAACAGTCTTTTCTTTCGTTTGTTGCTTTAGACCTTTAGACCTTTCTACTAGGAGCAAAGGGCATCGCTACTAGGAGCAAAGGGCATCGCTACTAGGGGCTCCTGGCCTTACTACTAGTAACAAGAAGCTACTTGCTAGCAGCTTATAGCTTCCTTTCCTTTCTTTAGACCTTTAGACCTTCTCCTTTGCGGAACACCTCCATTTGTTGTTGCAACGTGGGTTAGACATCGATGACTGCGCAGACGCCCCGATATGTTGTTCCACTCGTTGGCATCCATTTGGACCCTCTCCTGCACCCCAAACCGGAAAGAATACGACGGAATCTCAAGAAGCTTTGGAAGCTTAAATGTTCCCAAAAAGGTTTAGGAACCAAGTCGGTGAGACTGAGCCCTTTTGCCTGTCTCATCCTAGTAGTGCTATACCTGCTAGTAACTAGTAGCTTACCTACTTATAGACCCCCCGGCATAAAATGAACATAAAGAAAACAGAAATAACAGAAAGAGGGGAAGAAGACAGTGAGATCGAAACAACACTTTAAAGCAATAATTAGTAGCAATAGGAAAAAGAAGGGACACAACTAATAGGGAAGCAATAATACAAAGAGAAGACAGCGAAAAAACCTTATAAGGCCCTGTTCTCACTCTTCGCTTGTTGCCAAAGCCCAACGAGCCGGTTCAACTGCCAGGGTTTCTTCGCATCGCTCCCTTCTTCGCTCGCATCTGAGGCCAGCTCTGCCGAGGGGGTGCCAGTGACCCGGCCCCAGTTCTTCGAGGCACCGTGGGAGTTATGTGGAAGTTCGGAGAGTGAGCATAGTTGCAAGGACGTTACGTTCGTAGCTCCTGGCCTTACTACTAGTAGCAAGAAGCTACTAGTAACAAAGGGCATCGCTACTAGTAACAAGTGCATTGCTACTAGTAACTAGTAGCAGGAAGCTACTATATTCAGTTTGTGTTTGGTGTTCAGTTCTTTTTCAGTTTCTTGCAACGAAAAGACGGTGTGGCCTGTGAATGGTGTTCAGAATGGTGCTTGATGGACGTGATGACACGATGTTTGGGAGTATTGCATGAGGATTTTCACAAGCAGTCTTGGCATAAACTCCGGAAGGGGATTGTAAACGAAATCAGAACCCCAAAGGAGACTCACGGTTCTATTTGATTCTATCTATTGGGGCTTCACGAAAGACGATGGCACCAGGCAAAAGCTATGGAGAAAAGACATGGTGGTGCCGAAACAGCTGGTGTTAAAGCCTCTTCGTTGAGGCAGCTCCCTCTCCCTTCGGCCAGGTGATGCTACGGGCGGCCATCAGCCACTGGGACCGGGCAGCCAGGAGGGTTGGAGTGCGCTGTCGGCTCGTAGGAAGTCTCAAGTGAAGAGAGGATCTCATAGCGATTGTCTCCGACCTACTAGCGGTGGCCTCCAACCTACTAGGCTGTTTGGCTCATCAGTTTAACTTTGGTTGCACTTCTTGGGAGGAGGGAGGGGAGAGGGGGAGAGAGAAAGAGAGAGAGAGAGAGATCGCACTAACCGCTAATCATCCATCCGCCCTGGGCAGTGGGGCAGGGCCTCACCATGATTTTCAGGAAAAAATTCAGTGCTGCTCCCGCAGCTTGCAACTATCTACAACCTACAAAGCCCACAGACCCACCTCCCTTTCACAGTGCCAACATGAGGCATGGTGAGTGGGGGATTTCTCGATCCTGCTATGAGACACTCTAACGCCTCAGCTCTAAAAGACTTCCTTGCACGGACCTCTTCGCTATGCAAGAGGGTTCTGACGGTTTTGCAGCTCCACAGGCTGGGGCGAAGATTTGGCTGCCGGCGCTGCCATTCGAGCTTTCGCAGACGAGCGGCGTGGCAAAAGCTACTAGCGATGGCCTCCAACCTACTAGCGTCCGATCGCTCCTAGTAGCGATGCCAGGAGCCCCCGGTAGCTTCTTGTTACTAGTAGTAAGGCCAGGAGCCCCTAGTAGCGTCCTTGCTCCTAATAGCGATGGCCTCCAACCTACTAGCATGGTGTTCAATAGACGCGCCCGGCCATGAGTGGTCTTGATAGAATGGGCCTCTTCTTATTCCCCTGTGGTGTGGCAAAAACGGAGATGGGAAACTAGTGCAGTATTCTACTAGATCCCGCTATTTGTCCCACAAGCAGCTCGTCAAACATCACTCAGGACATCACCTCACAGATCACCCCGAGCACATCACCGTTTTGTTGTCAGGATCGTGGCGGGCCGATTGCTGCAGCCTCCTTTGGCACCATTTCCTCGTGGAGTACCCTTGCGACCGGGCGAGTACAGCGACGCACTCCAAGCCTTCGGAAAGACCTTGCGCGAGGCGTGAGAGGGGCGTGAGAGGGGCCGAAAGCGGACCTTGAAAAGGTTCAGGGATTTCCAGGGCGGACTTTGCTCATGAATATCTTCGGGTTGGACTTGTTTTGTTTGTTGCTGTTGACCTTCACATGCAGCACCCATTTTCCCACCATGGGAGAATCGGCATGTGGAGCTTGCACTAAACATCTAATTATATGTTCCCACATCCGATGGGGATGATGAGCATCAGTAGAAGTGCCTAGCAGGCCCTGTTTTCCCCCAGCCGTTTGGGGAGTCATGTAGCCGCCCTTGGACTGCATTTTTCTTCGCCTAGTAGCTGTTTTCCCAGCCGCCGCTGAAGCACAAGGCCTGGGAGCGGTTTGGCTACAGCAGCGCTCCTCGTCTCGGGACGGCCACGGCTTGCTGGGGAACCATCTCACTTGTAATCTTTGTTGAGCTACTCGTAGCTTCTTGCTACTAGTAAGGATGCTCCTAGTAGTACGGCCAGGAGCCCCTAGTAGCGTTCTTGCTCCTAGTAGCGATGCCCTTTGCTCCTAGTAGCTTCTTGCTACTAGTAAGGATGCTCCTAGTAGTACGGCCAGGAGCCCCTAGTAGCGTTCTTGCTCCTAGTAGCGATGCCCTTTGCTCCTAGTAGCTTCTTGCTACTAGTAAGGATGCTCCTAGTAGTACGGCCAGGAGCCCCTAGTAGCGTTCTTGCTCCTAGTAGCGATGCCCTTTGCTCCTAGTAGCTTCTTGCTACTAGTAATGATGCTCCTAGTAGTACGGCCAGGAGCCCCTAGTAGCGTTCTTGCTCCTAGTAGCGATGCCCTTTGCTCCTAGTAGTTTCTTGCTACTAGTAGTAAGGATGCTCCTAGTAGTACGGCCAGGAGCCCCTAGTAGCGTTCTTGCTCTCAGTAGCCATGCCCTTTGCTCCTAGTAGCTTCTTGCTACTAGTACGAATACTCCTAGTAGTACGGCCAGGGGCCCCTGGTAGCGTTCTTGCTCCTAGTAGCGATGCCCTTTGCTCCTAGTAGCTTCTTGCTACTAGTAAGGATGCTCCTAGTAGTACGGCCAGGAGCCCCTAGTAGCGTTCTTGCTCCT